TTTCTTAACCAACAAAGTCAGGTTCTCTGATTCATCTTCTTCAGACCCACTATTTTCTTCAATCGTCTTGAGAACAATGTTCCTGCTTTTCTTTTCTGCATTCTCTTGTTCTTTGAACCGATTGATTTCCAACTCATGTTCCCTTAACTTACCAAAAAGTGAAGCAGTAGTCATTTCAGTCAAGTCTCTTGATTCAGATATCGCTATCACCTTTGGTTGCCAAGTTCTGTCCAAACACTTCAGGATTTTGATGTTCAACTCTTCCTTGTCAAAGGTCTTCCCTAGCCCAATTAAATGATTGACCATGTGTGTGAACCTTTTCTGTACATCTGCAATTGTTTCTCCTTGCTGCATCTTGAACAATTCATAGTCCCTAATCAACTCATGCTTTCTTGCCCTCTTTACGTCAGATGTACCCTCATGTGTGACCTCTAGAATTTTCCACATCTCTTTGGCAGAGGCACATTGAGACACCCTGAAAAACTCATCAAGATTTAAAGCAGAGATAATAATATTTTTTGCAGTATAATCATATTGGACTCTCCTATTTTCTGCATCAGTTAACTCAGCCCAACTTTTCTCAACAACTTTACTATCTACTGTATGAGTTGGTTTGAAAGGACCATTAACAATTGTTTCCCAAATACCTCTATCAAGAGATTCAATAAAGATTTTCATTCTAACCTTCCAGAAAGAATAATTCACACCAGCAAAAAGCGGAGGCCTGTTTATGGAGGCTCCTTCTGAAAAATTCATCTTTCCCTCAGCCATTGGACCGATTTCTTGAGTAACTTACAAGAACCAGCTCTGGTACCAATTGAAAGAATTAATGGTTGAGTTCAAGAGGGGGGGGGGGTGAATTGAACTTTAAAACTTTTTCTCAAAACTTACTTTCTTTTGGAAGAATGGGTTATCTTTATTCAATTCTTGCAAAGGTAAATTGGTTTTAAACACAGCAAGTTTATAGGCAGAAAATAAAAGAGATGAAAGAAGAAATTCAACACACAAATTTATACTGGTTCACTCTAATCCAGAGCTACATCCAGTTCTTGACAAATCTGTCAAGTTTCCACTAATACCAAGTGAAAAATACAAACCGTAGATGTTCACCAATCTACACCAAGAACTATCTTACAAACCCACAAGATAGAATCTTGAAAACCTCCCAGTAACCAAATCCAGTTACTGTACCAAGTGCAGATCACAATCCAACCTGCACAATTCACACTTTTACAAGAGTATGAAAAGAGAAAACCTGGACTGCAGCTTTATTAGTATAATTTGTCCAGAACAGATTCTAACACAACACTTTCTCTCTTTGATTGACCACAATTTTGATCAAAGCACCTTATGATATGACAATATTCTTGAATGTAGAGAGAATCACGTATATGAAAGATTCACAGATTGATTTCAAAATGTTTTCTCAAGTTGTGTATTGTGTTTTGTATTGTGTTATCTTTCAAAAGAGAAATTAAATCTGTATTTATAGAGTAAAACATAGTTTCATAATGTTTCATCTGTCAAAAACTGTTTCAAAGAATTAAATGATTGATTAGATTTAAGATATAATAGGTTAGAATTGATTCTGATCGATTAGAACTGAAGTATGATCGATCAGACCGAGTTATGATCGATCAGAATGAAACTATGATCGATCAGAATGCATTTCAATCGATTTAAACGTCGATTCAATCAATTGATTTCATTTAAAAGTTCATTCAATCGATTGATTCGAGTTTTCAATGGATTGAAACAGCTTAATGAAAAATGATAGCTCTCTGTTTCAACCGATTGAAAATCATTTCAACAGATTGAAATCCTGCAGACTTTTAAACAGAAAATATAACCTCTCTGTTTCAACAGATTGAAAAGTTTTTCAACAGATTGATTTTCTGAAAACTCTTAGACTAAAAACATCTTTCTGTTTCAACAGATTAAAGATCATTTCAACAGATTGAAAATGCGAAACCATGATATTTGAAAAATTCATTAAGTTATTTTAACTTGTTGATTCTACGAATCAATCAATTGAAAATACGACTATGTGTAACCACTTATTATGTTAAGTGATTTTAACAGATTGAAAATCCTTTTCAACAGATTGAAAAAACTTAGTTTGTTCTTTTAATACTTAAATGTAAGTTTTTCATGCAGAAAAATGATTTTCAATGGGATGCAACATTTTAAGGTGTTTATCACAAAATATAATGGCCTATCAAGAGATTAAGTACTTATACTTAGCCTAATCATCTACACATTCACACATTAAACTATATCTACGTCTTCATCAATTTATATCTATGTCTTCATCAAATCCACCAAGTGCTTCAAAAGTTCCTTATGCTCAGAACACTCAAGGCCGAGGTGGTAGAGGCACAGGAGGATATGAAAGAGGTAAAGAGCAAGTCAGTCAACAAAACTGGCGTGGCCGAGGACAAGGTAGAGGTCATGGCAGTAGAGGTCGAGGTGGTCAGTCAAGCAATTCTGGAGTTGAGTGCTTTAAATGTGGGAAGTACGCTCATTTTGCTAAGGACTTCTATTCAGGTATCAAATGTTATAATTGTGGGAAGGTTGGGCATTTCGCGAAAGACTGTCAATCTGAGAGCAAGAAGGAAACAAACCTCCTCTCTGAGGACGCTGAGGAAGAAGGAGTATTGATGATGTAAAGAAGTTTGGGTATCGAGCTAAGTCCGAGCTGTTCTGACAACTCGGTTTGGTATCTTGATACAAGAGCAAGTAACCACATGTGCGGGGACAAGAACCTTTTTAAGGAGCTCACTAAAGTTGAGGCTGGACACGTGTCGTTTAGAGATGCATCAAAGGTGGCAGTAAAAGACCGAGGTACAATCTGGTACCTACAGAAGAATAGTCGAGTTGGAGAAATCAGAGACATTTACCATGTACCCGATCTTAAAAGCAACATATTGAGAATGGGTTAGTTGATGGAGAAAGGCTACTCAGTTCTGATGAAAGACCGAGTACTATACTTGAAGGACAAGACAAATCGTTTGATTGCCAGAGTAGAAATGAAGAAGAACAGAATGTACAAGCTGGACTTGAAGATAGTTCAAGAGAGGTGCTTGAAACTTGACGTGAAGGATGAAGCAATGATGTGACACTTTCGGTTTGGCCACTTGCATTTTGGCGGGCTGACCGAGTTGGTAAAGAAAGAGATGGTGCGAGGATTCCCATCTATGGAATTTGAAAAGAAATTTTGTGAAGAGTGTGTGCTCGGAAGCATCAGAGGACCTCATTTCCGAGGACTGTCGAGTATAGTGCAAATGAACAACTCGTATTGATTCACACAAATCTTTGTGGACCGATTACCCCTGATTCTTTCAGTGGAAAAATGTATTTCATTTCTTTTATAGATGATTTTTCAAGAAAAACCTGGGTATATTTTTTGAAGGAGAAATATGAGGTGTTCAAGAGATTTAAAGCAATGGTTGAGAAAGAGACTGACATGGCTATCAAATCTGTTAGGTCTGATCGAGGAGGCGAGTTCATTTCATCCGAGCTCATGACGTATTTCGAGGAGCAAGGGTTAAGGAGATTTCTGACAGCACCATACTCACCCCAACAAAACGGAGTTGTCGAGAGGAAGAATCGAACCATTCTTTGTAAGAATTAATGGTTGAGTTCAAGAGGGGGGTGAATTTAACTTTGGCACCTTTTTCAAAAAAACACTTTCTTTATGGAAGAATGATTAATCTTTTATCCAATATTTTATTAGGCAAATTTGGTTTTTAACAAAACAAGAATATAAACCAGAAATGAAAAGAGATAAATTTAGAAATACAACACAAGAGTTTATACTGGTTAACTCTTCCCAAGAGCTACATCCAGTTCTTGACAAATCTGTCAAGTTCCACTAATACCAAGTGAAAATACAAACCAGTAGATACAAACCAATCTACCCCAAGATCTACCTTACAACACCATAAGATAGACTCTTGAAAAAACCACCCAACAACCAAACTCAATCGTTGTAACCAGTGCAGATTCAAACCCAATCTACACAATTAATATTCGTACAAGTATTTAAAAGAATAAACCTGGACTGCAGCTTTTACAATATAAAAGTCAAAAAGCAAATTTTCTAACACATAACTTTCTCTCTTGAAGATCTTTCAACAATCTTGATCAAAGCACCTTATGATATGAAATGTATATGAATGCTCGGAAAAACACACGAATATGAGAGCTCCAAGATTGCTTTTAATCGATTTCCAAATTGTGTATTTGAAAGAGAAATTAAAACTGTATTTATAGAGTAAAAGAGAGAAACTGACAGTTTCAATCGATTAAAATTATGTTTTAATCGATTGATTTTATTTAAAATTCTTTCAATCGGTTAGTTCGAGTTTTTAATGGATTAAAACTGCTAGAAAAAAAAATGGTAGCTCTCTGTTTTAACAAATTGAAATTCATTTTAACATATTGAAAATCTGAGATACTTAAAATAAAAGAATGGTAGCTCTCTGTGTTTAACAGATTGAAATTCAT